CAGCATGCAACACCATCATTCCAGACATTCTTCTAACTAAGCTAAACCAGCTAGCGGTACCTGAACACACTTGTAAATGGATCATAAGCTTCCTAACAGGCAGAAAGCAGCAGGTGAAGCTAAGCAGAATCACATCAGATACCTGTACAATTAGCACAGGGGTCCCACAAGGCTATGTGCTCTCTCCACTTCTCTTCTCTCTATATACCAATGACTGCATCTCAAACAATCTATCTATTAAACTACTGAAGTTCACAGATGACACAACAGTGATTGGTCTCATTTGAGACAATGATGAATCCGCATACAGAGGGGAGGTTGAACAACTAGCCTCGTGGTGCAACCAGAACAATCTGGAACTGAACACACTCAAAACCATAGAAACGGTGGTAGACTTTAGGAGAAACCCTCCCATACTACTACCTCTTACAATACTAGACAACACACTATCAACAGTAGAGACCTTCAAATTTCTAGGTTCTACCATATCTCATGATCTAAAATGGACACCCAACATCAAAAACGTCATCAAAAAAAGCACAACAAAGAATGTTCTTTCTGTGCCAACTGAGGAAGCTCAAACTGCCCAAGGAACTGCTGACAGAGTTCTACAGAGGAACTATTGAATCTGTCATCTGCACCTCTATAACTGTCTGGTTTGGTTCTGCAACCCAACAAGACAGATACAGATTTCAGAGGATAATTAGAACTGCAGAAAAAACAATTACTACCAAACTGCCTTCCATTGAGGACCTGTATACTGCACGAGTCAAAAAGATGGCTGTGAAAATATTTACAGACCCCCCCGCATCCTGGACATAAACTGTTTCAACTCCTACCCTCAAAATGATGCTATAGAGCACTGCACACCAGAACAACTAGACATAAGAACAGTTTTTTCCTGAATGCCATCACTCTGCTAAACAAATAATTCCCTCAACAGTGTCAACAATGGAATTGTTGTTGAATATAGAATATGTGGAAATAGAAACTAATTTATGGGCGGATCATAATCCGGTGATGATAACTTGGAAAGGACAAAAAAGAAGAGCTAGGTGGACTTTAAATAATACAATATTAAAAGAGCAAGAGTTTGTGCAGAAGATGGAAAAAGAACTGGCCTTCTTCTTTAAGGAAAACAAGAAAGATGAGATATCTATACAAATCCGCTGGGATACAATGAAGGCATTTGCTAGAGGATTAATTATAGATTATACAAGAAAAAAGAATGTAAAAAAAAGATTAACACTGAAAACACTGACTGATGATTATAAGAGACTTGAGAAGGAACTTCAGAATGATCCATATAAGAAGATTGTCAAAATTAAAATGAATACAGTAAAACATAAAATGGATCTATTGGAGAAGGAAGAACTGGCTCAGAAGATAAGAAGTGCTAAACAAATTTACTTTGAAAATGCGAATAAACCAGGCAGATGGCTAGCATATAAATTGAAAAAGGAAAGAGAATCGAGGAACATAACACATCTTATTGATGAACAAGGGGAAAGCAAATTTGGACATAAAGAGATGGGAAAGATTATACATGAGTTTTACAGAAAACTTTATAAAAGAGAGACAATAGAGGAGGAGGAAGTGTCCAAGTATTTACAAGATGCAAACTTACCTCAGATTAGTAAAGATATTGAGGAGATGTTGGAAAGAAACATAACGATGATGGAGTTAATAGAAGCAATTAAGAAACAAAAAAATGGCAAAGCACCAGGGCCTGATGGCTTACCAGCTGAATATTATAAGACATTACAAGAACCTTTGACTATCCCATTACTGGAGGTAATGAATGAAGTGATGACAAAGAAGGAAATACCAAAATCTTGGACAGAGGCATATATTAATTTGATCCATAAGGAAGATACAGACCCACAACAAATCAAAAACTATAGACCTATATCTTTGTTAAACTCAGACTACAAAATTTTTGCTTCAATATTGGCGGAGAGACTTAAGAGATATTTAAATAATTTCATACATTTGGATCAAAATGGATTTCTTCCAAAAAGACAAATTAGGGACACCATAAGAATAATCTTGGACACTTTAGAGTATTATGAAGCACACCCTGAAAAGCAGATGGCTTTGGTTTTTTTAGATGCACAAAAAGCCTTTGACAACATTAACTGGAAGTTTATGACCCTTCAAATGGAAAGAATGGGCTTTGGGAGGAAATTTGTACAGGCCATTGAAACTATCTATTCTAAACAAATGGCAAAAGTAATGATAAATGGAGAATTGACGGATGCGATTGAAATAGAAAAGGGCATGAGACAAGGATGTCCTTTATCCCCATTGTTGTTCATATTGACATTAGAAGTTTTAAATAGACATGTCAGAGGAGAAAAAGAGATAAAGGGCATGAAGATTTGGAAGGAAGAATACAAACTCCAAGCTTTTGCAGATGATTTGGTTTTTATTATTGAAGAACCATTAACAACAATAAATAAATTAATAGAAATTATTGGAGATTTTGGAAAAGTAGCTGATTTGAAAATTAACAAGGATAAAACGAAAGTAATGACTAAAATACGGAGATACGGAGATACGGAGGATCCCGGATCTGCGTTCCTTCCGCCGTGCTGTGAAGACCTTTTTATTCCATCAAGCGGGCTTGGCCTGATCTCTTCCCTTTTTAAAATATGTAAATTTTAATCTGTTTTTAAATTATTGGGGTATTTTAATTTGTCTGGGCCAAAAAGTTTAATTTGATTTTATCGGGTTTTTAAATTTTGTGTATTTATGTATTTTATTGTTGGCTGTTCACCGCCCTGAGTCCTTCGGGAGTAGGGCGGTATACAAATCAAATAAAACCTAAACCTAAACCTAAACCTAAAAATATGTTGAAAAAACAGAAAGAGTTGATGGAGATTTCAAAAATGCAGATTACAAACAAAGTGAAATATTTGGGGATACATTTAATACCAAGATGTAGTGCTTTGAAAGAAAACAATTATAGCAAGCTTAAACAACAGATAGGGCAAGATTTGTTAAAATGGGGCAATTTACAATTGTCTTTGATTGGTAGTATTTCAACCATTAAGATGAATGTCTTGCCTAGAATTCTATATTTATTTCAGACAATTCCAATTAAGCTGGATAAAGAATTTTTTATTGACATAGATAAAATGATAACGAGATATATATGGCAAAGGAAAAAGGCGAGAATAAAGTTAAAGCTATTACAAGATGCTAAATCAAGGGATGGCTTCGGTCTGCCCAATTTTGAATGGTACTATCAAGCCACAAGTTTAATGTGGGTGAAAGAATGGATAACTCTGAGGAATACTAGACTATTATTTATTTATTTATTTATTTATTTATTTATTTATTTATTTTTAAATTTGTATACCGCCCTTCTCCCTGAGGACTCAGGGTGGTGAACAGCCAGGTAAAAGCATAAACTACAAACATTAAAATACAATTAAAAAGATATATGTAAATTTGGCCCCATAATTAAAAACAATAACCAACAATTAAAAACATTTTAAAAAGTGTTAGGCCAGCCCGGCTTGCTGGAAAAAGAAGGTTTTAAGGGCACGGCGGACAGCACCGAGGTCTTGGATTCTCCTTATCTTTGGGGGCAGCTGATTCCAGAGGGTAGGTGCCCCCACCAGATCCCCCTGGGGATCACCAGCCTACATTGTTTGGCTGATGGCAGCCTGAGAAGGCCCTCTCTGTGGGAGCACACAGGTCGATGGGAGGCCATCAGTAGCAGCAGGCGGTCTCGAAGATAACTAGGTCCTATGCCATGGAGCGCTCTAAAGGTAATAACCAACACCTTGAAGCGCACTCGGAAGACCACTGGGAGCCAGTGCAGCTCACGCAAGAGAGGTGTTGTATGGGAGTGCCATGCAGCTCCCGTGACTACCCGTGCGGCTGCATTCTGGACCAGTTGGAGCTTCCGGGTGCTCTTCAAGGGGAGCCCCATGTAGAGAGCGTTGCAGTACTCCAGGCGAAAGGTGACAAGGGCATGAGTGACTGTGCACAGGGAATCCCGATCAAGAAAGGGCCGCAACTGGCGGATCAGGCAAACCTGACCAAAAGTCCCCCTGGCAACAGCCGTCAGATGTTCCTCCAAGGACAGCTGCGTATCCAGGAGGACTCCAAGATTGCGAGCCCTCTCCAAGGGGGCCAAAGACTCGCCCCCAATAGTCAGTGATGGAGTCAACTGACTATATCGGGACACTGGGAAACACAGCCACTCAGTCTTGGAAGGGTTGAGCTTGAGCCTGTGTCTCCCCATCCAGATCCGCACAGCCTCCAGGCACCGGGACATCACTTCAAGGGCATCGTTGGGGTGGCCTGGGGTGGAGATGTACAGCTGGGTGTCATCAGCGTACTGATGGTACTTCACCCCAAAGCCACGGATGATCTCACCCAGCGGCTTCACATAAATGTTGAACAGAAGGGGCGAGAGGACCGACCCCTGAGGCACTCCACATATAAGAGGCCTCAGGTCAACCTTTGCCCCCCTGCCAACATGAAGTGCGACCGGTCTGAGAGAAAGGAGGAGAACCACCGTAACACGGTGCCCCCCATCCCCAACTCTTCCAACTGGTGCAGCATGATACCATGCTCGATGGTATCAAAAGCCGCTGAGAGGTCTAACAGGGCCAGAACAGAGGAGCAACCCCTGTCCTGAGCCCTCCAGAGATCATCTACCAACGCGACCAGTGCCGTTTCCGTGCTGTGCCCGGGCCTGAAACCTGACTGGAACAGAGTCAGTTTTAAATTCGGATGGACACAATTTGTTGATGGGTTGGCTTTTTTATGGTATAAAGGAACAAAAATACAAGGGTATTTCAGAAGACATCAAATACGTGAAGCTTTATGGCTGAATTGGGAGAAGGTTAAGAAACTTTATTACTTGAAAATACCTGTTTGGATATCTATGTTACATATAAATGCCTAACACTGTGCACCCATGGCAGGGCAAGGGTTAACACCACCCATCCCACCTAGTCCTTCTCTTGGCCACTCCTCACCTTGACTCCACCTCCCAGGTATATAAGGTGTTGCCCAAGAGTCCAGAGAGCACTCCAGATGTTCACCTGTAAGAGATAAGAAAGATGTAAATAAATACTTTTTGAATCAAAATATCCTGGGTTGGAGTTATTGGGAGGAGTTATTGTTAAACTCCTCCTCCTGCAGCTTCCCCAGCTTTCTGACTCGATCTGTGCTAGATCGGACACACCAAGCCCTTTCTCTGCCTTTGGCATAGTTTCAGCCTTGCTAATTTGCAAAACAATTCCCCTTTTGTGAGTGAGAAAGAGGTGCTTCAGCGAGACTGTTTGATCTCCGCTGTGACCGCTTGAGGTCTGCAGGGATTGAGGCTTGTTATCAAGCCTCTCCCAGCTACGGCGAGAACGGCTCACATCTGAAACCGCCGTGGGGAACCTCCTCGTGGAGTAGCAGGTTCCCAGCTGCCAGGCGGCTCAAATTACAGCTTGATTCTGGGGAGTGGGGATTTCCCACCTCTCCGAAGGCACCTCTCAGCAGCTTTCTCTCGCTGCTGTTTTCAGCCTTTTTTCTCCCTCATAGCCTCAGCTTGCCACCTGCAGGGGCCGCTGGGAGTTTTTTATCTCCCTTCGCCACCTGAGTGATTGACAGCTCCAAATTGGTGAGATTAATGGAGCTGGGCTTGTGGTTCTTAAAGGGGCGATAGCTCCATTTGGAGCTTATAGCTGGCAGCATTATTTAAAGGGCTTTTATATATATTAGCAGCAATTCTGACTGATTACTAGCAGCCCATTTTAATCTTTGTCCATAGGCTCCTGCCTTTCACAGTTGACGGCTGCCATTTTTCTTGCTGCCTTGTGGCAATTAGAGGCCTTCATATCCAAGATGGCCGCCTGCCATTCCAAGGCGTCTAAACGCCACCAAACTGAGGAACCTATGCCTGGCCCTTCATCTGCTGAGCCGGCCAAAAAGGCGAAGAAGGCACATTCCTCTAAAGAGGACAAGAAGGCAGAAGACAAGGCCAAAGAGGAACTTCGCTTGCACAAAGCGATAGAACACTCAATTCAAAAGGCCATGAGAGAAGCCTCTATTAGAGAGGCCCCTGTTCAGCAAGGGCCTGTGGCTCCTCAGCCACCTTTGGCTCCCCAACCTTCCTCTGCTCTGCCATCCGAGCAACCTGCTGAACAAATCCAGTCCCTACCCCCATTATCTCCGGATGTGAGCCAATTGTAATCCCTCTTGCAGGGGGAGGTCTGTGAGAAACACGTAACAAAATGGTAGCAGAGGATGGTTATCAGCCCAATTAATCCAAGATATGCAAGGAGCTCCCAAACTGCCTGAAGCGAAAGGGAGACCAAATACCTGAGCGTTCACTAAGAGAATGGCGACACAGTCATCTACTACTGAAACCATGCCAAGGGAGACAGCGGACGAGGAAGAGCAGACCTCCAGCCCAGGGACCCCAGCAAAATCCGAAAGAGATGACGACCCCGCGATCAACACACAAAGAAAAGGAGGCAACCTGAAAAAGAAGCTGCTGGACCTGATAGATTTAGCCCCGACCAACCTGGAACTCATCGCGGAACTCTGAGCCCTGATCAAGGACTGTGGAGCAGCGACTGAAGGGAAGGAAGCAGAACCCAACCGCAAGGAAGAGAACACGGTAGGAAACCCGTATATAAAACGTTTCCCCACCGAAGAAACCGAGGCCGAATTCACGCCTTCCTCGTGGTGGCCATCTTGGGTAATGACATCACCCAAGATGGCTGACCAACAACCAATGGGATCCTGGGATTCGAATTTTTTGGCGGGAACCGAGGCCTACTCACAAGCCACTGAAGAAAATCCTAACAATGACGAAGATGAATGGGGAGATGACCAAGCTAGCTCGCCTACTGAGCTAGACATCAACAAGGCCGTGCGGATACTAACCACGGCCTTCGGCGCAAAAATAAACCTACCAGGCCCACATCCGAATACTCCGGAGAGACCCAAAGGGGCAACCGGCATACTAAGGGCCCCAAGGGAAAACTACACAGAGTGTGAGGCCACCACGACCAGGGTACCACTTACACAGCTGCCCACCGGGGACCACTACTCGCCGCGCCCGAGGCCCACACCAGAGCCCAGGGGAATCGCCCATCACTTACCGACCCAGCGATCCGTTCTGAGACACCCAGATTGTCCAGCCAGCGAGGGCTTCGGCCTGGACTTCTGCGTCGAATCGAACTGTCTGGACATCTGACCGACCACCGCAGGACATCCGAACCTCCAGAGCCACCAAGGGAGTAATCCGGCGATCCAGATGACTTCCCGGCCGAACTATGACTGACAGAGACCACCCAAGGCCGAGCCATGGAGTCATCCCGCCGATTGGGGCCTTCTTCCAGGAGCCGCGAACACAAGCTCCTTCTTTGGTGACTGCTGGACGAGAATGAATCCAGAGCATGCGCAGAATCCACCTGTAAGAAGAGAAGAGAGAAACATAGAGATAAGTCAGTTAAGAGTCACAACAAGCATCCCTGTCCCATATTGTGAGTTCCCTCATGTTCAAAACCATGGACAGCGACAGACAGTGATTAATTTCACACACAACACAGTGACATTGCCTGCTGATTTCCACAAACTAAAATTAGATGGGACAAATCTCCTAGACTGGAATCAGCAGCTCCAGATTGTTCTCTTGAGAGAAAATATGCTATTCTTAATCAATGACCCACCTAGAAAACCCTGGACATTTGAAGTGGACTGCTTGCACCACAGGGCATATTACATACTCATAGCAAGCATTTCACCCAGCATTTATCCTAGCCTTAATCACCATTTGACTGTATCAGAAATATTACAAAAACTGTTCAATCTATTTTACAGTAAGAGTGTGGCCACCACCACCAGAATCTCTAGGGAGTTTCACTCAGCTAGGCACAAGGCCGGGACCTCTATGGGTGAGCACATCTTAAACTTGAACGCTACCAGGGCTGAACTAATACAAAGAGGGAAAGCCATCTCTGGGGAAAGTATGAAGAGTATAATTATTAATTCACTAGACTCCAGTTGGGATAATTTCATAACACAACTAGATAAAGTAGTGGAATGAAAAAAACAGTGTCCTACAGACTATGATGAGGTGCATGTTAGAAGATGCAGGGCTAGGGCAATCTTTCTGGGCTGAGGCACTCACGTACTCTAACTATACCCTAAACAGACTGTGATCTAGTGTAGTAGGTAAGACCCCTTATGAAATAATGTACAACAAAAAACCCCAAGTAGCACATCTACACATATTTGGGATCACAGCAGACCTGCATATCCCAAAACAGTTAAGACGCAAGGGCAACAAAGTCTCGAGAAAATTGAAATTCATGGGGTATGAATCTGGGACAAAAGGATATAGATTCATAGACAAAGACAATAAATTTATCATATCCAGGACAGCGGTGTTCCACGAAAACACCAATTGGTCAAAAATACACCTCAATGAAGTATTCCCCAGACAGGAAACCACAAACAATGTAAGGGATGAGGATAAGCAAGACACAGTAGAAGCCAAAACACATGAGGGACACAAACCTAGACATCAGGGGGTAACTACCAAAGAGTGGAAAGAGGACCATCCCATCATAAAGCTAGACACACTCACAAAAAGGGAGGCCAGATACATGCATGACACGGAGACACAACCAATCGGACCCATTAGATCCAACAGAAATAAGACCCCAAAAAGATTTGAGGATTACATCCTATCAATACACACAAACAAGATAACACCCAACTCATATGAAGAGGTGCTCAGACTGCCACAGGAAGAAAGGATTAGGTGGGAAGAAGCCATGGAGAAGGAGATGGCCAGTTTGAGAGAACTTAATGTTTATACTCCCTCTAAGACCCTAGCCAACAAAGCACCCATTGGGATGAAATGGGTCTTTAAAATCAAAGAACTTGAGGACAACAAGACTCTATATAAAGCCAGACTAGTAGCACAGGGGTTTGCACAGAAATACCCTGATGACTATACAGACACATATTCACCCACAGTTAGGGCTGAAAGAGTGCCCTGGTAATAGCATCCATTCTAGGCCTCGAAGTATACCAATTTGACGTACAGACCGCCTATCTACACGCAGAACTAGATAAAGAAATTTTTGTCAAAGCATCCCCTGGGAAAGATACACAAAAGGGAGATACTTGGTTGTTGAACAAAAGCTTGTATGGCCTGAAGCAGTCTGGAAAGAGGTAGTATGAATGTCTAGCAAAAATTCTCAAAGACATGGGTTTCACAGCCACCTCTGCTGATCTATGCTTCTTCATCAAGAAAGAAGGCGCATCTATTGAGTACGTGCTTGTGTATGTGGACGATATATTATATTTTGGCCAACATAAACATAGGTGCGATGAGTTTGCTGAGAGGTTAGGGAAACACTTCACACTAAAGACCTTGGGAAAAGTGAACAAGTACCAAGGGGTCCAAATCAACAAAACACAGAAGGGATTCAGAATCTCCCAGAAAGAAAAGATATTGGAACTCCTACACAAATGCAACATGAAGGATGCCAAACCGTGCAAAACACCCATTCAGGCTGACTTCCTGAAACATATGTACGATGAAGGTGAACCATTCAAGGACAATACACTATATAGATATGTCATTGGATCATTATTATACATAGCTAACTGGACAAGGCCAGACATCATCCTTGCGGTCAACCTTCTGTCTAGGCATGTCAGCAAGTCAGAAGCATATAATTGGGAGAGTGCAAAACGAATACTCAGGTATCTAAAATACAGCATGGACGCTTGCCTATGTTTAGAACCAGAGAACCTATCTTAACTTGTTATGCGGATGCTGACTGGGCAAGGGACACAAAGAGCAGGAAAAGTACTTCTGGCTACGTATTCTTCATCAACAACTGCCCGGTGCATTGGTATACTGGAAAGCAAAATTTGGTAGCTACATCCACAGCGGAAGCAGAGTACATCTGCCTGTCAAAAGCAGCCAACAACTTAACATGGTTCGATGACCTGCTTTCCAATATATGGACTGAACCAACCTACCCAATAACTATACAGGAAGACAATAAAGCAGCTATAGACATATCCACGGCGGACGCTGTGGGTCAAAGATCAAGACATATAGATATCAAACACAAACACAGTTATCAAACATTGGTTTCATCAAAGCCATACATTGTGAGACCGTTGAACAAATTGCGGACATCCTGACCAAACCCTTACAGAACAAACAACATGCCTATCTAACTTCAAAATTAGGTGTACATATGCAACACACACACATGTCTAACTGTTAGGCATTTAGAGGGGGATTTGTTACATATAAATGCCTAACACTGTGCACCCATGGCAGGGCAAGGGTTAACACCACCCATCCCACCTAGTCCTTCCCTTGGCCACTCCTCACCTTGACTCCACCTCCCAGGTATATAAGGTGTTGCCCAAGAGTCCAGAGAGCACTCCAGATGTTCACCTGTAAGAGATAAGAAAGATGTAAATAAATACTTTTTGAATCAAAATATCCTGGGTTGGAGTTATTGGGAGGAGTTATTGTTAAACTCCTCCTCCTGCAGCTTCCCCAGCTTTCTGACTCGATCTGTGCTAGATCGGACACACCAAGCCCTTTCTCTGCCTTTGGCATAGTTTCAGCCTTGCTAATTTGCAAAACAATTCCCCTTTTGTGAGTGAGAAAGAGGTGCTTCAGCGAGACTGTTTGATCTCCGCTGTGACCGCTTGAGGTCTGCAGGGATTGAGGCTTGTTATCAAGCCTCTCCCAGCTACGGCGAGAACGGCTCACATCTGAAACCGCCGTGGGGAACCTCCTCGTGGAGTAGCAGGTTCCCAGCTGCCAGGCGGCTCAAATTACAGCTTGATTCTGGGGAGTGGGGATTTCCCACCTCTCCGAAGGCACCTCTCAGCAGCTTTCTCTCGCTGCTGTTTTCAGCCTTTTTTCTCCCTCATAGCCTCAGCTTGCCACCTGCAGGGGCCGCTGGGAGTTTTTTATCTCCCTTCGCCACCTGAGTGATTGACAGCTCCAAATTGGTGAGATTAATGGAGCTGGGCTTGTGGTTCTTAAAGGGGCGATAGCTCCATTTGGAGCTTATAGCTGGCAGCATTATTTAAAGGGCTTTTATATATATTAGCAGCAATTCTGACTGATTACTAGCAGCCCATTTTAATCTTTGTCCATAGGCTCCTGCCTTTCACAGTTGACGGCTGCCATTTTTCTTGCTGCCTTGTGGCAATTAGAGGCCTTCATATCCAAGATGGCCGCCTGCCATTCCAAGGCGTCTAAACGCCACCAAACTGAGGAACCTATGCCTGGCCCTTCATCTGCTGAGCCGGCCAAAAAGGCGAAGAAGGCACATTCCTCTAAAGAGGACAAGAAGGCAGAAGACAAGGCCAAAGAGGAACTTCGCTTGCACAAAGCGATAGAACACTCAATTCAAAAGGCCATGAGAGAAGCCTCTATTAGAGAGGCCCCTGTTCAGCAAGGGCCTGTGGCTCCTCAGCCACCTTTGGCTCCCCAACCTTCCTCTGCTCTGCCATCCGAGCAACCTGCTGAACAAATCCAGTCCCTACCCCCATTATCTCCGGATGTGAGCCAATTGTAATCCCTCTTGCAGGGGGAGGTCTGTGAGAAACACGTAACAAAATGGTAGCAGAGGATGGTTATCAGCCCAATTAATCCAAGATATGCAAGGAGCTCCCAAACTGCCTGAAGCGAAAGGGAGACCAAATACCTGAGCGTTCACTAAGAGAATGGCGACACAGTCATCTACTACTGAAACCATGCCAAGGGAGACAGCGGACGAGGAAGAGCAGACCTCCAGCCCAGGGACCCCAGCAAAATCCGAAAGAGATGACGACCCCGCGATCAACACACAAAGAAAAGGAGGCAACCTGAAAAAGAAGCTGCTGGACCTGATAGATTTAGCCCCGACCAACCTGGAACTCATCGCGGAACTCTGAGCCCTGATCAAGGACTGTGGAGCAGCGACTGAAGGGAAGGAAGCAGAACCCAACCGCAAGGAAGAGAACACGGTAGGAAACCCGTATATAAAACGTTTCCCCACCGAAGAAACCGAGGCCGAATTCACGCCTTCCTCGTGGTGGCCATCTTGGGTAATGACATCACCCAAGATGGCTGACCAACAACCAATGGGATCCTGGGATTCGAATTTTTTGGCGGGAACCGAGGCCTACTCACAAGCCACTGAAGAAAATCCTAACAATGACGAAGATGAATGGGGAGATGACCAAGCTAGCTCGCCTACTGAGCTAGACATCAACAAGGCCGTGCGGATACTAACCACGGCCTTCGGCGCAAAAATAAACCTACCAGGCCCACATCCGAATACTCCGGAGAGACCCAAAGGGGCAACCGGCATACTAAGGGCCCCAAGGGAAAACTACACAGAGTGTGAGGCCACCACGACCAGGGTACCACTTACACAGCTGCCCACCGGGGACCACTACTCGCCGCGCCCGAGGCCCACACCAGAGCCCAGGGGAATCGCCCATCACTTACCGACCCAGCGATCCGTTCTGAGACACCCAGATTGTCCAGCCAGCGAGGGCTTCGGCCTGGACTTCTGCGTCGAATCGAACTGTCTGGACATCTGACCGACCACCGCAGGACATCCGAACCTCCAGAGCCACCAAGGGAGTAATCCGGCGATCCAGATGACTTCCCGGCCGAACTATGACTGACAGAGACCACCCAAGGCCGAGCCATGGAGTCATCCCGCCGATTGGGGCCTTCTTCCAGGAGCCGCGAACACAAGCTCCTTCTTTGGTGACTGCTGGACGAGAATGAATCCAGAGCATGCGCAGAATCCACCTGTAAGAAGAGAAGAGAGAAACATAGAGATAAGTCAGTTAAGAGTCACAACAAGCATCCCTGTCCCATATTGTGAGTTCCCTCATGTTCAAAACCATGGACAGCGACAGACAGTGATTAATTTCACACACAACACAGTGACATTGCCTGCTGATTTCCACAAACTAAAATTAGATGGGACAAATCTCCTAGACTGGAATCAGCAGCTCCAGATTGTTCTCTTGAGAGAAAATATGCTATTCTTAATCAATGACCCACCTAGAAAACCCTGGACATTTGAAGTGGACTGCTTGCACCACAGGGCATATTACATACTCATAGCAAGCATTTCACCCAGCATTTATCCTAGCCTTAATCACCATTTGACTGTATCAGAAATATTACAAAAACTGTTCAATCTATTTTACAGTAAGAGTGTGGCCACCACCACCAGAATCTCTAGGGAGTTTCACTCAGCTAGGCACAAGGCCGGGACCTCTATGGGTGAGCACATCTTAAACTTGAACGCTACCAGGGCTGAACTAATACAAAGAGGGAAAGCCATCTCTGGGGAAAGTATGAAGAGTATAATTATTAATTCACTAGACTCCAGTTGGGATAATTTCATAACACAACTAGATAAAGTAGTGGAATGAAAAAAACAGTGTCCTACAGACTATGATGAGGTGCATGTTAGAAGATGCAGGGCTAGGGCAATCTTTCTGGGCTGAGGCACTCACGTACTCTAACTATACCCTAAACAGACTGTGATCTAGTGTAGTAGGTAAGACCCCTTATGAAATAATGTACAACAAAAAACCCCAAGTAGCACATCTACACATATTTGGGATCACAGCAGACCTGCATATCCCAAAACAGTTAAGACGCAAGGGCAACAAAGTCTCGAGAAAATTGAAATTCATGGGGTATGAATCTGGGACAAAAGGATATAGATTCATAGACAAAGACAATAAATTTATCATATCCAGGACAGCGGTGTTCCACGAAAACACCAATTGGTCAAAAATACACCTCAATGAAGTATTCCCCAGACAGGAAACCACAAACAATGTAAGGGATGAGGATAAGCAAGACACAGTAGAAGCCAAAACACATGAGGGACACAAACCTAGACATCAGGGGGTAACTACCAAAGAGTGGAAAGAGGACCATCCCATCATAAAGCTAGACACACTCACAAAAAGGGAGGCCAGATACATGCATGACACGGAGACACAACCAATCGGACCCATTAGATCCAACAGAAATAAGACCCCAAAAAGATTTGAGGATTACATCCTATCAATACACACAAACAAGATAACACCCAACTCATATGAAGAGGTGCTCAGACTGCCACAGGAAGAAAGGATTAGGTGGGAAGAAGCCATGGAGAAGGAGATGGCCAGTTTGAGAGAACTTAATGTTTATACTCCCTCTAAGACCCTAGCCAACAAAGCACCCATTGGGATGAAATGGGTCTTTAAAATCAAAGAACTTGAGGACAACAAGACTCTATATAAAGCCAGACTAGTAGCACAGGGGTTTGCACAGAAATACCCTGATGACTATACAGACACATATTCACCCACAGTTAGGGCTGAAAGAGTGCCCTGGTAATAGCATCCATTCTAGGCCTCGAAGTATACCAATTTGACGTACAGACCGCCTATCTACACGCAGAACTAGATAAAGAAATTTTTGTCAAAGCATCCCCTGGGAAAGATACACAAAAGGGAGATACTTGGTTGTTGAACAAAAGCTTGTATGGCCTGAAGCAGTCTGGAAAGAGGTAGTATGAATGTCTAGCAAAAATTCTCAAAGACATGGGTTTCACAGCCACCTCTGCTGATCTATGCTTCTTCATCAAGAAAGAAGGCGCATCTATTGAGTACGTGCTTGTGTATGTGGACGATATATTATATTTTGGCCAACATAAACATAGGTGCGATGAGTTTGCTGAGAGGTTAGGGAAACACTTCACACTAAAGACCTTGGGAAAAGTGAACAAGTACCAAGGGGTCCAAATCAACAAAACACAGAAGGGATTCAGAATCTCCCAGAAAGAAAAGATATTGGAACTCCTACACAAATGCAACATGAAGGATGCCAAACCGTGCAAAACACCCATTCAGGCTGACTTCCTGAAACATATGTACGATGAAGGTGAACCATTCAAGGACAATACACTATATAGATATGTCATTGGATCATTATTATACATAGCTAACTGGACAAGGCCAGACATCATCCTTGCGGTCAACCTTCTGTCTAGGCATGTCAGCAAGTCAGAAGCATATAATTGGGAGAGTGCAAAACGAATACTCAGGTATCTAAAATACAGCATGGACGCTTGCCTATGTTTAGAACCAGAGAACCTATCTTAACTTGTTATGCGGATGCTGACTGGGCAAGGGACACAAAGAGCAGGAAAAGTACTTCTGGCTACGTATTCTTCATCAACAACTGCCCGGTGCATTGGTATACTGGAAAGCAAAATTTGGTAGCTACATCCACAGCGGAAGCAGAGTACATCTGCCTGTCAAAAGCAGCCAACAACTTAACATGGTTCGATGACCTGCTTTCCAATATATGGACTGAACCAACCTACCCAATAACTATACAGGAAGACAATAAAGCAGCTATAGACATATCCACGGCGGACGCTGTGGGTCAAAGATCAAGACATATAGATATCAAACACAAACACAGTTATCAAACATTGGTTTCATCAAAGCCATACATTGTGAGACCGTTGAACAAATTGCGGACATCCTGACCAAACCCTTACAGAACAAACAACATGCCTATCTAACTTCAAAATTAGGTGTACATATGCAACACACACACATGTCTAACTGTTAGGCATTTAGAGGGGGATTTGTTACATATAAATGCCTAACACTGTGCACCCATGGCAGGGCAAGGGTTAACACCACCCATCCCACCTAGTCCTTCCCTTGGCCACTCCTCACCTTGACTCCACCTCCCAGGTATATAAGGTGTTGCCCAAGAGTCCAGAGAGCACTCCAGATGTTCACCTGTAAGAGATAAGAAAGATGTAAATAAATACTTTTTGAATCAAAATATCCTGGGTTGGAGTTATTGGGAGGAGTTATTGTTAAACTCCTCCTCCTGCAGCTTCCCCAGCTTTCTGACTCGATCTGTGCTAGATCGGACACACCAAGCCCTTTCTCTGCCTTTGGCATAGTTTCAGCCTTGCTAATTTGCAAAACAATTCCCCTTTTGTGAGTGAGAAAGAGGTGCTTCAGCGAGACTGTTTGATCTCCGCTGTGACCGCTTGAGGTCTGCAGGGATTGAGGCTTGTTATCAAGCCTCTCCCAGCTACGGCGAGAACGGCTCACATCTGAAACCGCCGTGGGGAACCTCCTCGTGGAGTAGCAGGTTCCCAGCTGCCAGGCAGCTCAAATTACAGCTTGATTCTGGGGAGTGGGGATTTCCCACCTCTCCGAAGGCACCTCTCAGCAGCTTTCTCTCGCTGCTGTTTTCAGCCTTTTTTCTCCCTCATAGCCTCAGCTTGCCACCTGCAGGGGCCGCTGGGAGTTTTTTATCTCCCTTCGCCACCTGAGTGATTGACAGCTCCAAATTGGTGAGATTAATGGAGCTGGGCTTGTGGTTCTTAAAGGGGCGATAGCTCCATTTGGAGCTTATAGCTGGCAGCATTATTTAAAGGGCTTTTATATATATTAGCAGCAATTCTGACTGATTACTAGCAGCCCATTTTAATCTTTGTCCATAGGCTCCTGCCTTTCACAGTTGACGGCTGCCATTTTTCTTGCTGCCTTGTGGCAATTAGAGGCCTTCATATCCAAGATGGCCGCCTGCCATTCCAAGGCGTCTAAACGCCACCAAACTGAGGAACCTATGCCTGGCCCTTCATCTGCTGAGCCGGCCAAAAAGGCGAAGAAGGCACATTCCTCTAAAGAGGACAAGAAGGCAGAAGACAAGGCCAAAGAGGAACTTCGCTTGCACAAAGCGATAGAACACTCAATTCAAAAGGCCATGAGAGAAGCCTCTATTAGAGAGGCCCCTGTTCAGCAAGGGCCTGTGGCTCCTCAGCCACCTTTGGCTCCCCAACCTTCCTCTGCTCTGCCATCCGAGCAACCTGCTGAACAAATCCAGTCCCTACCCCCATTATCTCCGGATGTGAGCCAATTGTAATCCCTCTTGCAGGGGGAGGTCTGTGAGAAACACGTAACAAAATGGTAGCAGAGGATGGTTATCAGCCCAATTAATCCAAGATATGCAAGGAGCTCCCAAACTGCCTGAAGCGAAAGGGAGACCAAATACCTGAGCGTTCACTAAGAGAATGGCGACACAGTCATCTACTACTGAAACCATGCCAAGGGAGACAGCGGACGAGGAAGAGCAGACCTCCAGCCCAGGGACCCCAGCAAAATCCGAAAGAGATGACGACCCCGCGATCAACACACAAAGAAAAGGAGGCAACCTGAAAAAGAAGCTGCTGGACCTGATAGATTTAGCCCCGACCAACCTGGAACTCATCGCGGAACTCTGAGCCCTGATCAAGGACTGTGGAGCAGCGACTGAAGGGAAGGAAGCAGAACCCAACCGCAAGGAAGAGAACACGGTAGGAAACCCGTATATAAAACGTTTCCCCACCGAAGAAACCGAGGCCGAATTCACGCCTTCCTCGTGGTGGCCATCTTGGGTAATGACATCACCCAAGATGGCTGACCAACAACCAATGGGATCCTGGGATTCGAATTTTTTGGCGGGAACCGAGGCCTACTCACAAGCCACTGAAGAAAATCCTAACAATGACGAAGATGAATGGGGAGATGACCAAGCTAGCTCGCCTACTGAGCTAGACATCAACAAGGCCGTGCGGATACTAACCACGGCCTTCGGCGCAAAAATAAACCTACCAGGCCCACATCCGAATACTCCGGAGAGACCCAAAGGGGCAACCGGCATACTAAGGGCCCCAAGGGAAAACTACACAGAGTGTGAGGCCACCACGACCAGGGTACCACTTACACAGCTGCCCACCGGGGACCACTACTCGCCGCGCCCGAGGCCCACACCAGAGCCCAGGGGAATCGCCCATCACTTACCGACCCAGCGATCCGTTCTGAGACACCCAGATTGTCCAGCCAGCGAGGGCTTCGGCCTGGACTTCTGCGTCGAATCGAACTGTCTGGACATCTGACCGACCACCGCAGGACATCCGAACCTCCAGAGCCACCAAGGGAGTAATCCGGCGATCCAGATGACTTCCCGGCCGAACTATGACTGACAGAGACCACCCAAGGCCGAGCCATGGAGTCATCCCGCCGATTGGGGCCTTCTTCCAGGAGCCGCGAACACAAGCTCCTTCTTTGGTGACTGCTGGACGAGAATGAATCCAGAGCATGCGCAGAATCCACCTGTAAGAAGAGAAGAGAGAAACATAGAGATAAGTCAGTTAAGAGTCACAACAAGCATCCCTGTCCCATATTGTGAGTTCCCTCATGTTCAAAACCATGGACAGCGACAGACAGTGATTAATTTCACACACAACACAGTGACATTGCCTGCTGATTTCCACAAACTAAAATTAGATGGGACAAATCTCCTAGACTGGAATCAGCAGCTCCAGATTGTTCTCTTGAGAGAAAATATGCTATTCTTAATCAATGACCCACCTAGAAAACCCTGGACATTTGAAGTGGACTGCTTGCACCACAGGGCATATTACATACTCATAGCAAGCATTTCACCCAGCATTTATCCTAGCCTTAATCACCATTTGACTGTATCAGAAATATTACAAAAACTGTTCAATCTATTTTACAGTAAGAGTGTGGCCACCACCACCAGAATCTCTAGGGAGTTTCACTCAGCTAGGCACAAGGCCGGGACCTCTATGGGTGAGCACATCTTAAACTTGAACGCTACCAGGGCTGAACTAATACAAAGAGGGAAAGCCATCTCTGGGGAAAGTATGAAGAGTATAATTATTAATTCACTAGACTCCAGTTGGGATAATTTCATAACACAACTAGATAAAGTAGTGGAATGAAAAAAACAGTGTCCTACAGACTATGATGAGGTGCATGTTAGAAGATGCAGGGCTAGGGCAATCTTTCTGGGCTGAGGCACTCACGTACTCTAACTATACCCTAAACAGACTGTGATCTAGTGTAGTAGGTAAGACCCCTTATGAAATAATGTACAACAAAAAACCCCAAGTAGCACATCTACACATATTTGGGATCACAGCAGACCTGCATATCCCAAAACAGTTAAGACGCAAGGGCAACAAAGTCTCGAGAAAATTGAAATTCATGGGGTATGAATCTGGGACAAAAGGATATAGATTCATAGACAAAGACAATAAATTTATCATATCCAGGACAGCGGTGTTCCACGAAAACACCAATTGGTCAAAAATACACCTCAATGAAGTATTCCCCAGACAGGAAACCACAAACAATGTAAGGGATGAGGATAAGCAAGACACAGTAGAAGCCAAAACACATGAGGGACACAAACCTAGACATCAGGGGGTAACTACCAAAGAGTGGAAAGAGGACCATCCCATCATAAAGCTAGACACACTCACAAAAAGGGAGGCCAGATACATGCATGACACGGAGACACAACCAATCGGACCCATTAGATCCAACAGAAATAAGACCCCAAAAAGATTTGAGGATTACATCCTATCAATACACACAAACAAGATAACACCCAACTCATATGAAGAGGTGCTCAGACTGCCACAGGAAGAAAGGATTAGGTGGGAAGAAGCCATGGAGAAGGAGATGGCCAGTTTGAGAGAACTTAATGTTTATACTCCCTCTAAGACCCTAGCCAACAAAGCACCCATTGGGATGAAATGGGTCTTTAAAATCAAAGAACTTGAGGACAACAAGACTCTATATAAAGCCAGACTAGTAGCACAGGGGTTTGCACAGAAATACCCTGATGACTATACAGACACATATTCACCCACAGTTAGGGCTGAAAGAGTGCCCTGGTAATAGCATCCATTCTAGGCCTCGAAGTATACCAATTTGACGTACAGACCGCCTATCTACACGCAGAACTAGATAAAGAAATTTTTGTCAAAGCATCCCCTGGGAAAGATACACAAAAGGGAGATACTTGGTTGTTGAACAAAAGCTTGTATGGCCTGAAGCAGTCTGGAAAGAGGTAGTATGAATGTCTAGCAAAAATTCTCAAAGACATGGGTTTCACAGCCACCTCTGCTGATCTATGCTTCTTCATCAAGAAAGAAGGCGCATCTATTGAGTACGTGCTTGTGTATGTGGACGATATATTATATTTTGGCCAACATAAACATAGGTGCGATGAGTTTGCTGAGAGGTTAGGGAAACACTTCACACTAAAGACCTTGGGAAAAGTGAACAAGTACCAAGGGGTCCAAATCAACAAAACACAGAAGGGATTCAGAATCTCCCAGAAAGAAAAGATATTGGAACTCCTACACAAATGCAACATGAAGGATGCCAAACCGTGCAAAACACCCATTCAGGCTGACTTCCTGAAACATATGTACGATGAAGGTGAACCATTCAAGGACAATACACTATATAGATATGTCATTGGATCATTATTATACATAGCTAACTGGACAAGGCCAGACATCATCCTTGCGGTCAACCTTCTGTCTAGGCATGTCAGCAAGTCAGAAGCATATAATTGGGAGAGTGCAAAACGAATACTCAGGTATCTAAAATACAGCATGGACGCTTGCCTATGTTTAGAACCAGAGAACCTATCTTAACTTGTTATGCGGATGCTGACTGGGCAAGGGACACAAAGAGCAGGAAAAGTACTTCTGGCTACGTATTCTTCATCAACAACTGCCCGGTGCATTGGTATACTGGAAAGCAAAATTTGGTAGCTACATCCACAGCGGAAGCAGAGTACATCTGCCTGTCAAAAGCAGCCAACAACTTAACATGGTTCGATGACCTGCTTTCCAATATATGGACTGAACCAACCTACCCAATAACTATACAGGAAGACAATAAAGCAGCTATAGACATATCCACGGCGGACGCTGTGGGTCAAAGATCAAGACATATAGATATCAAACACAAACACAGTTATCAAACATTGGTTTCATCAAAGCCATACATTGTGAGACCGTTGAACAAATTGCGGACATCCTGACCAAACCCTTACAGAACAAACAACATGCCTATCTAACTTCAAAATTAGGTGTACATATGCAACACACACACATGTCTAACTGTTAGGCATTTAGAGGGGGATTTGTTACATATAAATGCCTAACACTGTGCACCCATGGCAGGGCAAGGGTTAACACCACCCATCCCACCTAGTCCTTCCCTTGGCCACTCCTCACCTTGACTCCACCTCCCAGGTATATAAGGTGTTGCCCAAGAGTCCAGAGAGCACTCCAGATGTTCACCTGTAAGAGATAAGAAAGATGTAAATAAATACTTTTTGAATCAAAATATCCTGCGTTGGAGTTATTGGGCTAGATCCTCGGAAACACATAACAATCTACAGTAGAGGCTTTTTCTTATCCCGTAATATTTAGAAAGGAACAAATTATTAGGTATAGTGAACTATTGGATGAAAAGGGTGAACTCAAATTAAAGCAGGAATTAGAGGAACAGGGATTTAAGATCTGTCATTGGCCCCCACGGAGAGGGCTCGCAACTTGGGTGTCCTCCTGGATGCACGGCTGTCCTTAGAAGAACATGTGATGGCCATGGCCAGGAGAGCTTTCTATCAGGTTTGCTTGATTCGCTAATTGCATCCCTTTCTGGATCGGGACTCCTTGCGCACGGTCACTCATGCCCTCGTCACTTCCCGCCTGGACTACTGTAATGCTCTCTACATGGAGCTTCCCTTGAAGAGCACCCAGAGGCTCCAACTGGTCCAGAATGCGGCCATGTGGCTGATTATGGGAGTGTCGTGGCGCTCCCATGTAACACCTCTCCTGCGTGAGCTGCACTGGCTTCCGGTGGTCCTCCGGGTGCGATTCAAGGTGTTGGTGACCACCTTTAGAGCACTCCATGGCTTAGGACCTGGGTACCTATGAGACCGCCTTCTGCCACCGAGAGCCTCCCACCGGCCAGTATGCTCCCACAGAGAGGGGCTCCTCAGGGTGCCGTTGGTCAAACAATGTTGACTGGCAGCCCCCAGGGGGAGAGCTTTCTCTATGGGAGCACCTGCCCTCTGGAACAAGCTCCCCCCGGAGATACAGAGGATTCCAGATTTACGTACTTTCCGCCGGGCCCTCAAGACTTTTTATTTCAACAAGCCAGGCTGGCCTAACTTCTCCAATTGCTTAATTTTAATTTGAATTTTAAAAGAGGTATTTTAATTGTTGGACCAAAATTGTTTAATATGTTTTTAAACTGTTCTTAAATTTTTGTATTCTGTGTGTTTACTTTGGCTGTTCACCACCCTGAGTCCTTCAGGAGAAGGGCGGTATATAAATTTAAATAAATAAATAAATAAAGATGGATTGGTTTTCATATATGCAAATATTTTCTAGATATCGAGAAGATTGTAAGCAGGAAGGGTTTTACAAGGCTTTGACTCATTTGGATAAGATTTTAATGGGAGCAGACGATCGTATTATTAAAAAGCTGTATGGGTTTTTGTTAGAGTTAAAACTGGAAGAAGAACAAGTTAAAGAATCGATGGTAGCATGGGGGGAA